GGTTAAGGGGTGCACCCTAGAGAGGGTTTAAGCAGAATTAAAATAAATAAAAACTTCAGTGTTTTTGTTTTTGTTGTTTTGTTGTTTTGAACGCTTAAGTTGTTTGTTCCTCTGTTCGTCCGCCTCTCGAGGCATAATTCATATGCAACAATGTTGCACCCAGACCCACAGTCAGAGTCAGAGTCAGAGTAAGAGTCAAATGCAGACAGACATAATGAATGGTGAATGGGGGCGAGGGGGAGGGGGAGGGGGGCTTGCGGCGGCACTGGCAGTGGCAGTGGCTGCTGTGGCAGACAGAGTTGATGGCCAGAGCATTTTGTGTCATGCCGCTGCTAATAGATCTGGCAAACAGTGTGAAAAGGAACCACTGACAATTGATTGGTGGAGCCTCTGCGGAGGAGACGGGCCATGCGGCAGGGGCAGGGGCAGGCGGAAGCTGCCACATTGACGGGTTCCTGTTAAACTGATTTTTCGTTTTTTTCCCTTTTTTTTTTTGCCCAGGTTGATGACTTTGAAAGCTGAAGCCAAATGATGATTATCCGAAGAACTGGACAAGGATATATGATGACAGGTAGAGACAAAAGTAATATACGATGGAGTTTCGCAGCTCAAGATCACGGTGGAGCCCACAGAAGCGAGCTCCCAGAAAGTACTTTAAGATCATGTAACAAATCGAAGCGTTTTGTAGGATAATACTCCAATAAATCGATTTTTTTCCGCAGAGAAAGTCTTCCTTTAACATTTTGGGGCCCCAATATCATATATCTTTATCGATATTTGCCATCTTGTTGGGCCCATAAAGTGGACTGTCATAAATTGTGTGTAAATATCCTTCTTTTCCTGGGGAAAACTACCAGGTACCTCGGAAAAAACGCTAGGCCATGAATTATACGGCGATTATTTATCGATAAACTCGAGGCGGACTCCGCGGACCACACAAGAAGGCGGGAGGGTTTCCGGAGGGAAGATTTATACACACGGCCGACAGGGCATACGCCTCCGGGACACGACTACTGCGCCGCCCCTCGGGCGCTCCTCTTGACCCCCTCTGCAGCGGCACTCGTGAAGCACTACCCATCATCGCCTTAGCCTCTAGACCATGCCCCACTGACGAGCCAAAGAAAACAATTCATATTTTCTACTCATTCATTTTGGCGGCTGGCGTTGCAATTTTGTAGCAAATGAAGGCACGTCGAGGGGTGATTGTCGTGGACGGGGGTGCGGCGATGGGGCGCTATGCCACAAGGAGGAAGGCTAGCCAGCGAGCTAGCGAGCGAGCGAGCTAGCGGTAATCGAGCATACAAGCGCATTAAGCACCAGACAATTATGTTGCGGCAACATTGTTGCAGTCAAGCGCCGCCGCCGCCGCTGCCGCCACCACCGCTGCGGCGCAGACACCGAGAGAATGATGACGACGTCGTCAGCCACGCCTCCTCCTCCACTGCCCGCCAGCCCCACCTGTCCGCGTGCCACAACGCCTCCTCCTCCTCCTCCTCCTCCTCCTCCGCCTGCCCGCCCGACCGCCCTCCTCCCGCGCTATCATTCTGCAAAGATGTTGGACGAAGAGCTTTAGTTTTTTTTTCGTGTGTGAGTTTTTTTCAGCATGCGCAATTTAAATTTAGTCAGCTGGAAAATTTTATGAGGCCGAAGTCCATAAAAACTGGCTAAAACATGAGTGGTGCAGAGGGGGGGCGTGGCGGTGCGTGGTAGAAAGTGGGGCGGAGCGGAGAGACTTCATTAGCGTGGACTGTACTGTACTTAAAAGGAGCTACTAATTTCGGCGGTCTTTTCTGCGGCGACTTTAAAAAGAATCTGCAGTATTTTGTGGTATTTTTCTTGTCGATTCTGAGATGTGCGTTGCGAATTATTCTCATTCTCAAAATGTACCAATGAAACGATTCCTCACATTATTTGGTATTAGTTTGGTATTTTTGTATATATAATTTATAAATAATATGAGCCTTGGATCAAGTCACACCAAAGTATCAGTATTATTTTGTAGTATTTTCTATTATATATTTTATATTGCGGTATTTTAAGTTGCAAAATAATTTTTCTGGTATTTTTGTTGTTTTGTGGTATATGGTTTTATGGTATTTTTAGTATTTCGGTGACGGCCCAGCTATAAACAGGCAGGCACCGGTTTTCAATTTCGCCAAAATTATCCGATTTACTTTTGAAAACGCAAAACTTGGTGCTCCCGTTTTCATAAAAACGGCAAAAAGCGATCTTAACTGGAACAAAGAAAAAAATGTATGCCATATTAATGCATAAACACAAATTTGACACCACAAGATCGATTTAGTTGGTGGTTTTATTTATAAAAAATTGTTAACCAACCCAACATCATTTTTCGTTTTCGTGCCAACAGCTGAAACGGCCCGAGTCGGTTATCGGTTATAACGGGGGATTTTGGGCGCCTAACAGCACTTAATTGGGCTTTTAGCAGGACGTCAGAAAATGTGATAAAAATATGTGAAAACGGAAAACGCAAAAAGTAAATGAAAACCGGAGCCCATTTTTGGTCAAACTTAGCTTAAAAAAAGCGTTAATTTCTGTAAAAAAAAAAAAACTTGAGTATCTAAAGCCCATTTGCAGCCTGTATCCCCCCTTGCCCATCGACAAACCCCATAATGGCAAATCGTTCACATTGTTAGCTATATCTTTCGCTCGCCATCTGGCTGCTGGGCTTCAGCAAATGACCGAAACATTTTTAACGCTTTACCAACAAAAATGTTAATTAAAATGTTAACAGGAATGTGACAGCCGGGCACCCTCCTCCTGCTCCACCCCCTGCATTATATAGCCGCCTTCATTGCAGGATAATCAAAAACCAATATCAAAGTTGATACGAACCGTCCGTACCACCGCCGCCCCCCACCACCAATCCACACCCTCTTTGGCTCCCACTCTACACTGCTGCGTCATCATTTGATATTCATGAGGCGGCAGTCGGTGAAATTTTTCCAGTAGAAAAAGACGGAATTTCTGCCACACTCGCAGCAATCACACACAGTCCCACCGTCACGTCCTTTGCAGGACCTGCAGTGCAAAAAAAAAATAAAAACAACAACAAAAAATTTAAATAAATGCTCGCGTAGTCCGGACTTCGGTCCGGACTTCTACAAATATACAAATATACTTATATTTACGTACATTTTTGCCTGCTGTTTTTTTCAGGCATTTTCGCCTGCCCCGACAGGACATTTGACCGAGTCCATTAGCAGGGAGTCCAGAGAGCAACTCGCTTTTGGCCATAATCACCTTGTTTGTCGGCCGGAACACCTTTAATGGGCAGGCAGTAGGGGCAGGGGCAGCGGCAGGGGGGCTGGGGCAGGGGCAGGGGCAGGGGCGCCAGCACGGTGTAGGTGTCGTTATGGCGGATAATCATTGTCAGGTCTGGCAACCTCCTGTAAGCGCAAGGGATGGGATGGCGGCAGTCGGCATTCCGAGGGTTGGGTTGGGCTGGGTCTGTGTTTGGGTCTCGGTCTCGGTCTGGGGTTGGAGGCATCAAATAAACGTAATTCAATGCACATAATGACAACAACATTTCCATTTTTGACTTTTCCTCTTCTTATTATATTTGGGGGGGGGGGGGGGGGGGGGGGGAATGGAAAAACAGCTGTCACAAGGGACGACGGCAATGGGGGGCTTAGAGAGGCTCTTTGTTGGTATTTGCATATGGCCAATTGGGCAATGTCAACGTTAAACCAGAAGAGGAGCAACTTATCGAAGTCAAAAGTCAGCAAAAGATGATTACAGGAACGGCAGGAGCCCCCATAATATTCATAATTCATATAAATGGGGGGCGAGGATTGCGGGCTGGGCTGGGCTGGGCTGGACTGGGCGGGGGGATGTTTGGTGGCGGAGGTTGTTTACCAATTAGATGGAAATGGGGATTGGTTTTTGGGCATACGGTTTTTGTGGGTGCCACTAATGAGAAGGATTACTGTACTGCCGGGGAGAGTTCCTCAAGAAGAGGTTGCATCCCTAAGAATGATTGAACTTTCCGTTACTCTTCTCTGAAGCATTATTGTAAAACACTTTATGGAGTTTCTGGCTTGGGAATCCTTATTCTACTAGAAGTTCCTTGGATATAGCTTCCTTTTCTTCATTTCTTCTGTTCGCTTTCTCAGCAGAAGCTGGTCTTTCTCTACTGAAGATGGTATTTCTCTACAGAAGATGGTATTCCTCTACAGAAGATGGGATTTCTCTACAGAAAATTGTCTTTCCCTACAGAAGATGGTATTCCTCTACAGAAGATGGTCTTTCTCCACAGAAGATGGTATTTCTCTACAGAAGATGGTATTCTTCTACAGAAGATGAGATTTCTCTACAGAAGATGGTCTTTCTCTGCAGAAGATGGTCTTTCTTCATAACATATGCTCCTACACACTGCGAAAACTCTATTAATCCTCAAGTTTTCAGAAGTTTCTCTACTCTTGTAATTTTTTCCTCTTTTGGGCATAGAAAAAAAAACCTTTTCATCCAACAAAGTGTCATTTGGTAGACGTTTTTCCACAAAATATACCACATCTTGATCTCTTTAGAAACAGGCAGCTCCTCTTTACTTCCAGAAACAATTTTGTTCCCTTTTGTGTGGTGTTGGAGTAAAACTTTATTTGGTTGGATTGTTTGGTTTGATTTGATTAAAACGACATTACAAATATGGCAAAAAAAAAAATAGTCGAACATCAATCGAAAGTTGATCGTTCATTTATCGATCGATAACTACAGCTACAACATTCATGTATATATCGATAACGATATGTGATGTGTGTGTGTGTGTGTGTGTGTGGGTTCGTGATTAAAACTTATGCACTAATTGGAACTGTTTTTGGATTAAGGTTTGTTTTTGGTGCAACGAATGAGTGTGTATTCTTTTTGCAACTTGCAACTTGCAACTTGAAACACGCAGTCGATAACCATGTTGGCCGCATCCTTGAACCATTTTTCTCCAGGCAAAGGCACACACTCGCACGCACAAACGCACACACGCACACAGACAAACAGCACAGACACTGTAGCACTCACGGGACGCCCCCTACCAACCCACATCACACCACACCACACCACACTCTTTCGCTCGCTCTCTCTTTCGCACTCACACAAACAACTGAAAACGTTGCACATACGACCCGTATGCACGCTAGTTGCCACACAAAAAAACCCACTGCCAGACGACCGGACGACCGACGACCGACGCCTTCTCCTTTTCTTTTCCTTTCCTTTCCTATCCTTTCCTTTCGTTTCTCCTTCCCTCTGTGTTCGATTGGATGCAGCCAAGTGTTATGCAACTACTTAAAGGACTTTATCATGTGATTTCTGTGTGATTTGCGTTGTTTGAGTTGTGATTTGTGTGTGTGTGTGTGTGTGTGTGTGTGGTGTGCTGCTCATCCTTCTAGGAGTCCTCCTTCCTGCTCCTCCTTCTCCTTCTCCTTCTCCTTACAGAAGATAGCATTTCCGACGCCAACAGGAACAGGTGCAGTGCACATGACGATAATAGCGACAGAGGCACTTCAGATACTTGTATCCCGCACAGCAATGATGCGAATGCGAGTGCGAATGCGAATGGTAGTGACTGTAGCAGGACCCGCTGTCATGCAGACAATACGAATAGCATCCACAGTCGCACATCTTGTCCTGGGTCCTGGGTCCTGGTTCCTGGCTCTTCCGTGGGTCCTTCTGGGTCTTCTGGCGGATGGATCGGTTGGATCGGATGGATCGGCTGTGTCCCTGCTCCTTTGGTGGCCTCAACTCAACTGATTTCTGGCCAACGCTTTAGCTTTCGACTTGGCTTAGGTTAGTTTGATGGTCGCCAAGGCAACCCCGATGGGGCGATGTGCGCCCCGCACACGTTTGATCGATCATTCCGGCTTGAAAGCAAAGCAAAGGCAAGGAAACGAAAGGATATTTGCGTATTTGGGTGGCCAACATTCGTACCACGACACGGGACGGGACGAGCTTTTACCAGCTTTTGTTGTTGCTTGTTGTAGTTGTTGTTGTTATGGCAATGTGGAAATCATGTCAATTGATTTTGGCCAACAAAACAACTCTTCTTTTCTGTGCCTGTGAGTGTGTGTGTGTGTGTGTTTTCTACTCTCTGTTTCTGGTTTCTGTTTCCTGTTATTCGTATTATTCGGTTGTGGTTTATTACAGAAGATACTACGGGGGATACAGCGAGGGTATATCCTTTTTTTATTCTTAAGGATTGAGTCTTTGGAGACTATGGAATTCGTTTTCTGGAACCTCTGAAGCAAATTTTCCAATTTTGTGCCTCGACAAAAACGTTGGAACTGCTTTTACCCGCGAAACTGTACTTTTTCTTAGACGACTAGTTAAGAAAAGTTGGAAAACCGCCAGATTTCGTTATGGGCATCACTTAACTCTTTTTGTGCATCGACAAAAACGTTACAACTGATTCTGGCCCACGAAACTGTACTTTTCTTGGACGTTACTGCGTTATTAGAGAAATGCGGCTATATGTAGTCCGCCTTAATGTTAAAAGGAGTTGAAAAACATATAGATCCCCAAATGAAAACCTAGAGTAAAGCCCCACCGATCATTCCCTTACATTATCCAAGGGTATTCCCTCTGTCTACACCTCCAAATATCTTAGCTATCCCCAAGCCCCCACCTGGTTGTACGCCTGGCACCGCTTGAGTTCTATGATTAATTCGCAATTCTGTCGCTGATTTTATGACCCAAAAATATTTTTGTATTTTATTCTGCCGCCGACTGCTGCCGACTGCTGCCCCAAAATAGACTTGGCCAAATGCAAATTCATGCCTGACCCACATTCACATTCACAATGATGATGATCATGATGATGTTGATGATGATGATGGTGATGGTGATGGTGGCATTAGTCACCCGAAAGATCTCTCTATAGAGATCTCTGTATACACAATATATGACTAGTCACACGACGGCTGTGATGGCTGTGATGCAATCGATGCACACACACACACACACACACACACACAAACACAAACAATCGATGCACAATCGATGACACATTCAATGCAACACCCGACTGCCGCAGGACTGACGTCATTGAGTGCGCGCCAGTAGGTGCATACGTCATCTGTTGTTTGTGCGTCGCGTCGCGTCGCGTCGCCTCTATTGCACATTCTCTAGGGTTTGCATCGCACACATCGCATACCAAATGAGATCAGTGGATCACAGCTGTGGCTGTGGCTATGATATCATCGTTTGAGTGGGGTTTTCTGCGATCATTAGTGCGATGTTTACTGCCTCTGCCTTCGCCTTCGCCTCTGCCGCTAATTGCTAAATCATATTTGGGTTTCACGCGCTGATCTTTAAGCACCTCCAACAATCTGAACAATCAACAATCCAGGAAATGTTTTACTCGTTCACTTAGCAGGTCATTAAGTGCTGACGTTTGAGAGAACTACAGCGAGAGAGAGAGAGAGAGAGAGAGAGAGAGACACTTTCAATGTCAAGTAAATCAATCAGTGGGTGAAAGAACCAGGAACTAAATTAGGAGTAGTTCAAGCCAATCTACAACTCTTTTCAGCCATCAATAAGCAGTTGATCGATCCTTCAGGCACATTCTTTCATCACACTTCATCCACTTGTTGCGCGTCTTGCAGCAGTACCACTCGGTCGGATTTGAAGTTCTTGACTGGAACATCTATGAAACGTGTTGATCTGGAACTCTTTTTAGAAAAGTTTCAACTATGATGGGAAAATCTAGCGAAAAACTTGAAATCTATAGGAGAAGATGGAAGGTCAATGGAAGCTCCTACAACGATCTCCATAGCCGCTCTCCCTAACCCCTTCGAGAAACGTTTTCCAACAAGGAGAACTCCTTCTCCTTAAGCCCTGAAACCCCTGTTTTTTTTTGTGGTTATGAGGAATCATAATTTTCAGCCTGCCCCACATGCCACATGCGTGTTTCATATCGGTTATCTTCTTGTTATCCCTCGCTTGATATTTTGGTAACAATTTTAAACCTTGTTTTGGGCTGCAATTAAAGTTGCCATCGAGGACACGTAATGCTGCTTTAATGTCAGGGACAGTGCCTGACAGGGCTAGGGCTAGGACTAGGGGGCCAGGGCCCAGTTCAGAGTCCTGCTGCTGCCGTTGTCAAGTGTCCTTGTGCGCTTCCAGCAACAGCAAAAGTAAAGTCTTGGGTGCACACACGTATCCCCAATGGCGAAAAGTTTTGTCAGGCAGCCAAACCTGGTTAAAAATGAAAAGTGCCAAGGGTTCGGTTGCTCGTGGCGGTTGCACCAATGGAGATGGAGATGGAGATAGAGGTGGAGCTGGAGGTGCAAGTGGAAGTTGCAAGGCAGCACTGGACTGAATGGAGTGCAAGTGCATGGTTTTCAGCAGTTTAGTTCAAGTTGTTTTCAAGTAACACTTGAAGGACACAACGGGGCGGACAAATAACGACGACAACGACCACGGCGACCACGACGACGACTACCACGACGACCATTGGACGACCATATGGACTGGGGGAAACAATCGTAGGTCCTTGATAACAAAAAAGGATAAAGGGATACAGAGAGAGCAGGAGGGGGGAAGCGGGAGGCAGGAGGCAGGAGGTGAGATCATGCAACACCCGCAGGAAGCGTGGCCTGTCAGTGTGTGGCAAATAATGGTGTTGCGTGTCGTTTTTGCCACACAAAACGATGATGATAACCCTCCCTCCCTCCCCCCTCCCTCCCTCCACCCGACCCGACCCGACCTGACCCCTCCTCGACTTGCAGCAGGCGACAGCTGACTTTTGTGACAGCCAAAAAAAAAGGAGAAAAGAAAACACTGCAGCAAGCAGCAAGAAAATAAACTTCTTCCGGGGGCAAGTTCTCTGCGGTTGCCCCCCCTCCCACAACCCCCCTCTCTCTCTCTCTCTCTCTCGGTGGAACCTCATGAAAAGCGTCACTGACACTTAAATTAAATTTGTTTTCATTTCTGTTGCTGTTTCTGTCTCGCTGGCAAAAGTCAGCGGCGGGCGACACTTTCGGTTCGCCTCGGTTCCAGTTTTGCAGTTCGGATCGGGTTCGGGGGGACTGGGGGTCTGGGGGTCTGGGGGCTGTCGTCTGTCTTTGAGGCCAAAAGAAAGTACCCCAAAAAAAGGGCCACAACCGAAGGCAAAGAAATGCATTTTGCAATAAAATAAATTAAAACGAAAGCAAAGCAAATTGTACACTATATACGCCACAACTTGCCCCGAAACTAAATGTTTTGCCCCTCCCCTACCATCCCCTCTCCCACAGACTCGCCTGTGTCAAGGAGGAGCTGGTTTTTGCTTGGGCGATGGACACTGAAGAGTGAGGATTACAAATGGGCCTGGGCATTACCCCAAAAACCCAACCCAAAGACCACAGTGAAATGCTGTCGCTGTGCTTGAAGCCTCGAGCCAAAGACATCACGGATACACAAGGGCATAATAAACGATAAGTTATCGATATAGATGATGAGGAGTAATCGATCTCAAGTCGAAGGATGTTTAAATGAAGGGAGAACGACAGCTTGACGATACAAAATTTGCATATTCTAATCAATTTATCGATAAATGTCAAATAGGGAAATCGTCATCGATTTCGATTGTAATTTTCGACCGATTTATGATCGATAAATGTGCCTTTTTCCGCCCAATATATTTAGTTCGATGACTTATCGCTACAAAATGCAGTCAGTCAGCGATTTACTATCGATAAATGTAAAATTTAATTTCAATGAGCGAAAACGTTTGAAAATTATTCATATTTTCCACAAAATGTTTCCTGTAGGCAAAAGTTAAGATCTTAAACTAAAATTAATCGATAAGTGGTGTATGGCTGTAGTCGATAAACGGCATTGTATCCACAAATCCTAAAAACACACACACACACACACACACACATAGAATTATTGTCCTGTATCAATGGTCGCTGCATTTCCGCCACCTCTCGTCTTTCTATTCAAATTTCGCTCTCAATGAAATATTTTTGCATTGTTGCAAATAGTTGTTGCAATGTTTTCCGCCCTGTCAAACTTCAAACTGTCATGTGGCAAGTGGCAAGTGGCAACTGGCAGGGCGGCGTAGTATTGCTGCAGTGTTGCCCTTGGGGCAGAGGCGTGGCAGACACAACAGCTGCCGCAAGGACAAAGTTGCACACACATGAAGCCGTTTGTAAGCGTGGGGCACGGGCGATGTTGCACATTTCGAATATCTTCATTCATTTTGTTTGTTGGCCAAAATCAGTTGGGCATGCCACAACGTTGCTGCCGCTGCCGCTGCTGCTGCAACACTTATCCGTGGTATCCGCGTGGCAGCTGCTGTTGCTGTTGCTGTTGCTTTTGCTGCTGCATTGGCAAGTGGAAACCTGCGTTGGCATGCGGCAAGCCAGCAGCCATCCTTGCAGCTGCGTCAACTTGTGTCAAAAACCTGGCAAGTGCCACTTTGTGGCAGTTGTGTGGCAATGGCCCCATGGTCGGTCCCCCTCGAGGTCCAGCAAACGCAACAGTTATGCTGGCGGTGGCACGCCCCACCCACCCCCTCCCCACTGCCCCTGCCCGTGGCCCGTGGCCCGTGCAACGTGCTCGTGGCCTCCCCCCTTTGCCACATGGCAAACAGAGGCGTCTCCTGCCTCTCGTCTCGCCTCCACTCCTGTGTCCCTTGTGGAGGCCACCCACGTGTTCCCTGTCGGGCTTTTTGATTGAAATGTGTTTGTTTGGCTGCGGCTTTTACGCTTGCCACCCCATCCATCCTTCCCCTCGGCCTCTCTGCCA